ATTAGATAAAACACAAGAATAAGGGGTGGAATTGGAGGACAGTAAATTTGATTAGGATTGTAGGGTTTCCACTTCTAGAATTCTAAAATCTTATTTGGAATTTTAAATGACAACAGAATTATCTATAATGCTTAAAGGAATTTCCTAATAGAGCATAATTTGGGAACAGAGTTGTAGGAAAATTAGACAGATGCTTCTTTTAAAACTAAAAATGATTAAAAATTAGATGCATGACTTTTTCTGAGGATTCATGGTATGAGTGTAATCTTGAGAGGTAATTTTAAGTTTTATCTCTTCGCTTGAGAAGAAACATAGACTTCACAGTATGGTCTGTGTGTTGAAAGTCAAATAGAAATGTTCTGTGAAATAATGGCAGTTAAGCTTAAATATGAATATATATGATTTTTTGCTGTTTAAATTGTATAATTAAAAATTTTGGGGGGAGAGATCAGCAGTTGGCGTAATGGCTATGTTGCTGGACTCCCATGTAGTTGACTGCAGTTTGAGTCCTGGACCCGGTGGCGTAAACTCAATACTGGGTGCGTGTGCATGCGGGCCCAAGATCCAGAGAGGAGAATGGAGGAGGAGGGATTGTGACATTGCCATGCCCCCTGGGAGGTGATTTCTCTCTGTCTTTCTGTCTTTCTGGCAAGCTCATGAGTCCTATAGCAACTCCCCCCCACACACGAAATTTTTTTTTTATTGGATGATGGTTTTGGAGAACTGTCTTTGAGACTCAAGTTCATTTTCTAAGAATTAGATTTCTAGTGCTGGAGTAATAGTTTCAGTGGTCCTGTAGGTGGCAGTATTTCCACTCATTTAAATTTAATACTTGCTGTAACTTTCTTAACCAAAAGGGTTTTTTCCATTGCCTTCTTGGATAATAAAGCTATATGTGTAATTTTACTCAGTATGCTTTTTTGATCCAGTGTTTTATTTTAGCTTAAAAGCAAATAGAAAGTTTAGCTTTAATATTCTTTATATAAAGTAGTAATTGAGAAACAAAGGCACTTTTCAAAAATTGGCAGTATTTTTGTGTGTGTGTGAGTGAACATAGTTATATTATTTATAAAATCAGGGATTTAATTTTAATTTTACTGAGTTAGAAGTTTCTTTTCCTGTTCTTTTCATGACGAAAGTAGTTTATTGTTATTCTTAATTTTTATGGGTATCAAAATATGTTTAGTTTTTTTCAGGTTAAAAAATAAAAGTAATCTCCCCACACTTTTCTTTAGCCATCAGCCTTTTCCTTTAAAAGTCTTTAAAATTTACTATCAATTTTGAATTTCCTTAATCAGTTTTAGTTTTCCAGCTTTTCCTTTCATTCCCTTTTTATCACCATTGTAAGCATCATGATGAGTCTTCATTCTTCTAAGAACTGTACGTAATTTCTATTGTTTAATACAAGTGCTACTTCTTAAGCCAGCTTAAATGATAGAGATTTCTGCAGCTAGCAGCCCATATAGTCATTAGCAATATTAAAAGGACTGTATGTTTCTTAATGTTTTAGCCTGCCTCCATTGTTCCCAGCCCATGGGATTCCATAGTGCAGGCACTCACAATGGCTATTTTGTCATTAGTTGATTGCTACCCTCTCCTCCATCTTTGCTTTTCTTTTACTTAAAGCATTATTTGCAGTGAAATATTTGGATCCATTTCATACTTTCCTTCCTTCTTACTTCTCCCACCCTTCTTTGCCCTATCTTACTCCTTTCTACTTCTGTGTAGTTGTTCTCCATGCCTTAGCTCCTGCATGTAGTTTCAACTTTAGTCGCAGCATAGAGAAAGTATCTTGTCAGTGTCCTGCTGCATCTGCCTCTCACTGGTATCTAAGCAACAACAGCATAGGTTTGATGTCCTGTGGAAAAATGTCCCATATGAGGATTTATTACATATATATAATGAAGGGGCGTTCTGTTGTTGAATTTAAACTCCTGAGACTCCTTCAACATTGTCAGAGCTGGTTTGATAAAAAGGTAATTGATGCTATGATTTAGAATTACTATCATTGGATTTGGCACCATTTCCCATAAAATGTCAAACAAAGAGAGTTTAGTCTATTCTTGGTCTTTTCCATTGAAAATAGCATTCAAAATTGTAGTGGTAAATTATTTCCCTGAATCCCAGTGGTAGCCGACATTCAATGGCAGCTTTCCAACGTATGCTTGCTTATCCATTTTACAGGTGTAGCAATGATGCAAATAGTCAGCTGCCCGTATGTAAAGACAGTCGCTACCACCAAGACCGGTAATTTTTAAAACCATCTTAGTTTGTTTTGTCTGTAAGTTGGCATGGTAGTGAATGTTGTTGTTTATCCTTTTATTTATTTATTTTTGCCCAAGTGAGTGGATTTTTTTATATTTTTCTTTTTAATGAGCAGTTTTAAACACAGTTGTTATATTTGGCCAACACTTAATTTTCCCAATTGCCTGTAGTGTTAGCTTCTTTGGTTCACAAAAGCAAATAAGGTCAGATCACTTTATATCTTAATTTATGTAATAAGTGTAAACAACTTCATTCTCATATTCATAACATTTAATTTTATTTTTGATGTGTTTTTAAGTTAAATATAAAAAAATCATTTTCATGTGTAAAGTGATGTGATTATGCTTGCATGCTAGTGAGTATATGTGTGTGAATATTTGTGTGTATAGTATATATTTACATTTTAAAGTTATTGATGTGAGATAACTACCTGAAACTTAAGTTTTGGTATAGGGCTTGAGGTTTATTTTTCTTTCAGTTTTGATTATTGTATCCTAATTTTAATAGTGTTTTATTTATTATAGCATCAGTATATAGCTGTCTTGAACAAAATATGAATCTTGGCTTATCTTTTAAAAAGTAGACGCAGTTTTGCATTCTGTTAGGAAAAGAGTAAGCTTACAGTTTAAAATGATATCTAACTTGATTTGATAATTCAGTCTACTCTAAAACAGAATTTAGTTCACATCCTTTCAGGTATCTTAAAGTTTGAAAATAATTTTGCCTCAGGAAAGTGCTTAGTATCTTGTCTTGACTTCATTGGAATTGAAGAAATTATCTTTATAAAAATTTATTTTTATTTAGAAGTAGAGAAAGTGCCATGATTTTTAATAATTTATTATGCTAAAACATTGTCATAGGTGAGACTCAGTTTTCTCTTAAAGTGCTTTGTGTTGAATTTCTCTTTGTAATTTAGGCAGTAGAACTAAAAGACCAGGGAGCTACAATTTTAAGTAATATTTAAATCACTTTTATGTGTGTGTGTGTGTATATATATATATATATATTTAGTTCCATCTATCCCATTTGTTTATATATGGTAGAAATATTTAGTTCATCTTAGAGTTTATTATGTATTGAAATATGATGTGTGGATCTAATTTTTTTTATCCTTTTTTTTTAGGTGTATTGCCAGGAATGGCCCCTCCTATTGTACCAATGATACATCCCCAAGTTGCCATTGCAGCTTCACCTGCTACCTTAGCTGGAGCAACAGCAGTGTCTGAGTGGACTGAATATAAAACAGCAGATGGAAAGACTTACTATTATAATAATAGAACATTAGAATCAACCTGGGAGAAACCTCAAGAACTAAAGGAAAAAGGTATAGAAATTTTGATGACTTGTGACAGAATATGAACTATAATAAGTAGAACGCTACTTGAAATTCTGAGTTTAAAATTTTTTAACATTTTTGAGAGATTTAAAAAGTTAATGTAGTTGTTTAATTATTTCTACTGAGTTGGTAGATAGGTATTTATTTTGAAAAGCCTGTTCTGCTGGCATGTTTGTCATTTTCTTTGATTTAGAGAAGTATAGTACATATGTACATAATATTTTACTGTCATCAGGAAGTATATAATTATTATATCACTTAATTGTTATTCTTACTGTGATAGTGCCAGTCAGGAAGCAATGTGCGTGTTGTGTGTATTCTGAAGAAAAAGAATTTAGGCCCTTAGAGTCATAGAAAACTCATAGTTTTCTGTATCACAAACTGCTATTTCCTTTTTTTAAAAAATTCTTAAAATGTGCTATAAGGTGTGTCTGTTTGCTGGAGAGAGAGAGTGAGAAAGCATCCCCCAGCCCCATAGGGAATGACCATGCTGCAGTCCCCTCTCTTCTTGGTACTCTAGGCATGCACGCACACACACCTGGCATAATCTTCAAGCCACTGAGTCTGGGACATCTCAGTTGGACATGTTGGTTCCAGCTGCCTTAACTACCAGTGCCACTGGCTTGGCCCACAAGTTACTATTTCTGTTTCTAAACGTCTTTGTATCTGATTCCTTTCAGTAAAATGAATGGTTGCTACAAATGATAATATGAGTGACTTGAAAGATTTTTTTTGTCCTTTTGAAGCTAGTAGGTCTTCTCTAACGTTTCCTGATTAGTATAGCAAGGTATTTGAAGGTGAGCATTACGTTAGAGACATTTTCTCTTTATGGTTAATAAACTAATCTTTAGTAAGTTAATTCTTAACTGCTTGTTCTCTGAAAGTTCTCAGAATATTACATCAAAATCTTTGAGTGACATCTTAATTTTTTAATAGAAAAATTAGAAGAGAAGATAAAAGAGCCAATTAAAGAACCCTCTGAAGAACCTCTGCCAATGGAGACAGAAGAGGAGGATTCTAAAGAAGAGCCTATAAAAGAGATAAAGGAGGTAAAAGGCACCACTTGTTAGCCTGAGAACCAGCATTAGTCATTTTTTTGGTATAATTTGCTTTAACCGGGTATCTATTTGATATATTTTAAATAATTGTCGTAAGTTTGATCTCTGAAATTTTAGGATTCTTGAACTTCTTTTAAATTAAAAAAATTTTTTTTTAGGGTTTTTGCCATGGGGCTTGTACACTCATTTGAGAGAGACAGAAAGAGAAAGTGGGAAATCACTTCCGGGGGCAGGGGGGTGTGGTCAGATCTCCATTCTCCAGTTAGGATCTTGGATACACACATACACATGCCTGGCATGATTTTCAAGCTGTCAGGTCTGATAACCAAACTGCATGACCATGTGGAAATACAGTACCTTAACCTCTGCACCACCTGCTAACCCAGGATTCTTTTAACTTCTTTTTTTTATTTTAAGAGACTTTCTTGCTATAGGGTTTGTGTGCTCCCAGAGAGACAGACAGGAAGTCAGAAATCGCTGCTGAGGGGGCATGGCCATGCTGCAGTTCCTTCTCTTCCATTCTTCTCTTGGGATTTTGGGCACCCATGCACAAACACCTGGCATGAGTTTCAAGCCACTGGGTCTGGGACTTGAACAGTAGGCGACTACATGGGAGTTTAGTGACATAGCTATTACACCATCTGCTGGTTCCTAACATTTTAATTTTTCCTTTGAAAGTTTTGCTACATTATCTTTTATACTAAATTGAGGCTCACCCAAAACAAGGACCTTGGACCAGAGGTTGGATCTGCTCTCTAGCCAGGCTTACAGACTGGTACATGTTAAAATTATAAGTTCGCCTTCATATTTGTGGAATGTTGGATTTTTATTTATTTATTTACCTTTTTGCTATAGGGAGCCTGTACTTGCCAGAGACAAAAAGAGGAGGGGAAAGTGAGAAATCACTACCCAGGGAGGATGGCCATGCCTCAGTCCCTTCTTCAATTTCCTTTCAGGATTTTGGGCATACACGCACACACATCTGGCATGATTTTAAAGCTCCTGGGTCTGGGACTTAAACTGTGCCATGTGGAATCCAGCGCCTTAACCTCCAAGCCACCTGCTGGCCCAGTACTGGATATATTCTGGCCCAGTATTGGATATATTCTAGCTGTCCTCTCTGCTGTTGTGTCCTTTCATGGGGTTATCCAAAATTTATAGCACTAAAGGAGTTCTGCTTTTTGAAACATTCCTTTATTCAGTGAGGGGCCAATGGTAGTCATGCTTCAGTAGTAGGAATGGGTAGCAGAAATAAGAAAAAAACTTAAAAAGATCTCCACTAATTTTCTACACTATAGTTTGCCCTTTTTGCTCCAAAGTACATGGTTAGTGATTCTGTAGGATAGGACCAATCGCTACTACTGGTTTCAGCTATTGTTGAATTTTGCTCTTGTTGTAAAGAGAAGGATTTATTTGGACCTTCCTTGGGAAATTTCTACTTGGGGATCTTTCCTTCCCTATTTAGCAATAGATCTTATGTTGATTACCCTTTGGGGTATTTGCAGTGGCACTAATCTTTGCCGAATGTTTTTAAGTATTTTTTTGTAAAATGTTCAAGTATATTTTGTCATATTGATTAAATGGGGGTGATATTTACCGTAGGAGCCCAAAGAAGAGGAGATGACTGAAGAAGAAAAGGCTGCTCAGAAGGCAAAACCAGTAGCTACTACCCCTATTCCTGGTACTCCATGGTATGTATTTAGCTTAATTAGTAAAATTTTTCTTTTAATCAGATATTGATTATTACATTGTTCATCATATAGAAAGAAAAAACTGTGTAAAAGAGTATGTATCAAATATATTTTTGTCTGCTACCTGTTTTAGTTCTTAATTTGCTATATTTGGTTGTTCAGTTACTACAGGTGTCTCTTTTCATTGCCTCCTCTATTAATATTTTTCATGATTATAGACTTAAACAGTCTTGGGCCCCATATCTACTTTTTTCTTTTTTTAAAAGAATTATTTTATTTAACTTTATTTTAAAAAAATTGATCAGAGAGTGACAGAGTGAGAGAATGAGAGTAAGACTGAAGAGAGAGAGAGAAAGCAAGCCTCCCGGTCCAGGACTCGAACCGCTGTCAGCCATGTGGGAGTCCAGTGCCCTTAACCACCATGCCATCTGCCAGGTCTCTGAATCTAATTTTAATTGCTTAAAATATTTTAAATATATACCCTCTACTGAAATACAGTTACAGTACTGTTCTGTCTTTTAATCTAAGTGTTGAATGGCCTACTTTTTAACTTTGGCTTGGTTTCCCTACCCTTCCTTTTCCCACATCAGTGCTTCCTGTATTTTCTCGCTCCAGCTTATTTAATTCATTTATAGACCATGCATTGCAGTGAGTTGCTTCTTTCTTTTTTTTTCTTTTTTTTTTTTTTTTTTTAAGAGAGTTTTATTTGCTTTTATTTGTGTACATTCACCAGAGAGACAGAGAGTGCTAGAGAGAAATCACACTTTGGGGGAATGGCCATTCACAATCCCTTCTCCTCCATTTTCCTCTTGGGATTTTGGGTATACATGCACATGTGCCCAGCAGTGGAAGTTTGAAGCCACCAGGTCTGGGACTTAAAATGTGGTCAGCCAATGCGAGTCCAGCTATGTAACCATTATGCCATCTGCTGGTCCCAGCTTTTTCTTTCAACTTTTTTCTTTGTGCTTTTTTTCTTGTTTTTGTTAATGAAGAAGTAAGTATGCTTTTCCTATACCATCCCCAAATTTGAATTTTATTGTATCCCCTAGGTATTGTTTGGTAGGGTACTCAATACGTGAGTTTTCTATAAAGTAGCAAGCAGATCCAGAGGAATGATCAGGTTCAATTTGATCTTTTTTTTTTTTTAATTGCTAGAGGGCATGTATATTCACCAGAGGTGCATGCTCCTGTGTTTGTGTGTGTATGTCTGGAGGGAAGGGGGGTGGGGTTGGGGAGGCATTCCTCAGTGTGGCTTGGTCATACTACAATCTTTTCTCCTCCCATTTCTCCTTCCTGTGGGGATTTGGGGCATGAGCAGGTGCCCAGTATGTTTTTCCAGCTGCCATGGTAAGGATCCAAACCACATTCAGCTATGTGGGATCTGACACCATTAGGCTATGGAGCCATCTCTAGGTTTGATCTTTTTGATAAGGTTAGTTCATAAACAGTTGTACACCTTTCCCTCGGGATGTGTCTAATTGGCCTTTTCTCTCTCTTTTTGTTGTGATATGAGCATCTGTTGATCATTACTGCTTAGATGATAGGTTTTCAACAGGATCAGACATTTGGCAATATTTGTAGACACTTTTTGGTGTCCTAACGTGGAGAGGGTTTAATAGCATCTGGTATATAGCAGCTAGGGAGGCTCCTGAACATCCTATCGTGCATAGGACAGCTTCAGCAAGAATTAAGTACCTGTCAGTGTTGGCCCAGTATGTCAATAGTGTGAGATTGAAAAACTCTGTTTTATATCATTACATTGTTAGACCAGCAGATGGTGGTTAGGACGCTGGACTCTCACATGACCAGCTACGGTTTGAGTCTTAGACTTGGTGGCTTACTTTCTTTCTCACTTCTTTCTTTCTGTCTCTTTATTTCTCTCTTTCTGGTGAATTTATATGCCGTATAACAAATAAAAATAATAATTAATACAACTAGAGGCTGGCAGGCGGTATGGCGGTTAAGGGTGCTGGACTCCCACAGGCTGACTGTGGTTCGAGTCCTGAACCTGGTGGCTTGCTTTCTCACTTTTTTTCTCTCTCTGTCCCTTTCTGGTCACTTTAAAATAAACAAAAAAATAATTCTTTTTTAAAAAAATAAATAAAACTAAATAATTCTTTAAAAAAATAAATTGTTAAGGGTTGAAAGTGATGGTGGTTTATTTCTTTTATTCTCTTTTACTTACTGACTCCTCTATTACTTAATAGAGAGATACTTCCCTTCATCAGCATTAATTATTTAGAGGTTCGTATTGTAAAGGAAAATAAGGATTTGTCAGTTTTCAGAATGAGTTGGTTTGAGTGTTAAGTTGTAGATTTAAATACATCTCATGTTTTTACTGATAGTCATTTGTATTCTTTGGTTAGGAGAAGCTTCTTTTTTTGTTTTTGTTTTTGAGAAGTTTTTGCCCTAGGGCATGTGTGCTTGCCAGGGAGAGACAGAGGTTGAGATAGTGAGAGGGAAAGTGAGAAATCATCCTATACTACAGTCTTTTCTCCTCTATTCTCTTCCTTGTATTTTGGGCATGCATGCATACATGCCTAGCATGATTTTTCAAGCCATCAGATCTAGGACTTGAACCAAGGTTGGCTATGTGGGAGTCCAGTGATGTAACCGCTATGTCATCTGTTGGCCCCAGGAGTTAGTTTGATTCTACGTGGCTAACTGTGGTGGTGGCATGAAAAACACTTGATGCATGAGCATGCATGTCCAAACTTCTGATGAGAAGGGGAAATAGAGGAAAAGGGATTGTGGCATGACTATATCCCACAGGATGTGGTTTTTCTTTCTCTCTGGCAACCACATGTGTCTCGGACAGTAAAACAATTTCAATATCTAATTGATTGTTATTAGTAAATAAGGAAGGGATTAATTATCATGTATTAATTTTGTATCCTCTAGCCTTGCTAATAAACTCATTTCTTATAGTAGTTTTATGGATTCCCTGGAATTTTCTCTAAATAGGAATGCCTTTGTTTTTTCTTTTCTGATCTGTTTTTTCTTTTTAAGTCTTTTTCTCCTGTACATCAGGCAAAAGGGTATCTCCACAAGGTTGTAATAAAATACTGCAGTCATCTTCAGTCTCAGCTGGCCTAGATTAAGGTCATGCATGCTCTCGTATGCTCAGAGAGATACTAGGATGTGAACCTGGGACTTTTCCCATGTAGGTCCACTTCAGTTACTATTGTCCCACCACCTGGCCCCCTTCTACTCATCTTTTATGTCTTCTAGTTCTTTTTTCTTTGCTTATCTCTCGGGCTGCTAGTGCAATGCTAAATGAAAGAGCTGAAAGGAGGCATCTTGGGGCTGACAGGTGGCTTGTTGGTTAAGGTACTGGACTCCCACATGGTTGACCATGGTTTGAATTCTGGACCTGAGAACTTGCTTTTTCACCTTATCTCTCTCTCTCTCTGAGAGATGAAAAAAAAATTAACAAATGTTGTAGTGAAAGGGGAACACTCCTACACTGTTGGTAGGGATGTAAATTGGTCCAGTCACTGGGGTGAACAATATGGAGGTCTCTCAGATACCTACAGATAGAACTACGATATGATTCAGCAGTTCCACTCCTGGTAATCTACGCAAAGAACAGGAGAATAATAAGTCGGAAAAGTGCTTGCACATCTAGTTTATTGAGGCATTATTCACGATTGCTAAGCCATGGAACCAACCCAAATGTCCATGAACAGAAGAATGGATTGAAAAAGTGTAGCATATATACTCCATGGAATGCTATTAAAAAAAAAAAGACCCTGGCATTTGATAGAAAGTGGATGAATGTAGAAGATTTATGTCTGAGTGAAGCAAGTCAGGCTATGAAAGCAACATTGTATGTCTCCATTTAACATATACTATCTGCAGTCTATGAAAAAGACTGAAAGATTGGAGGGCATAAAAGCGTTAAAAATAGTTAATGGACACTGGAGACAGTGTGGGGGTTTCAAAGAGAGGAAGAGCG